CGTTTCATCCCTTTGGGAAGAAGGCTTGGTTGGGTTTTTGGAAGGTGGGCCGTTGTGGGTCAGGAATTAACAGTGGGGCGCACATGCGCCATGCACACTTGGAAATATTCCTCTCAGACAGGGATGATTCTTGGCGAGGGGAATTAGATTCACACGGGTCAGATTCCTCTTGCAAACCTGCCTTTGTTTGAACGCCTTAATCCTTAGAAGCGAAATGGGAGCATCCTAAATTCAGACCAGCTGGTGATAGGACCTGGGGGGCGGGGGGGAGAGGTGGGCAAATGGCAGGTGGGGGAGGACCTGCCTTTACAGCCCCTGACTCAATGTCCCTTTTGGGTCAGGCCGAGTGCAGGTAACTCTCGGTCCTTTGGTAGATGTGTATTGTGGCTCTTTTTCCACCAGGGCAGAAATCCTGTGGCTTTCTTTGGGGTTGACTTGCCACCTGGGACGAATGCAGGTAGTCCTTGCTTCGCGACCACCAGCTGGAACCCACCACTCATTGCAGAACGAGGCGGTCACTAAGCAAAGATGCGATCGTGGCCTGCTGTTTTACTGCAGAAGTTCTCCGTCGATTCCAGTTGTCGGATGCTGTCGCGTGATGGAGATTTCGGAGGTTTTGCAATGGTGCTAAGTGGGAGGACTGGTCGTAAATCTGCTTTCCGGCACCGTTGTCACTTTGAGCTGTTGCTAAACAGGACAGTTGTCGAACGAGGGCTATTCTTAGTGCTTTGGAAATCACGGTTTGTGGCTTAGCCTATCAGAAGACGTCAGCCCTCAAACTGGGGTGGGATGGGGGGGGGTTGCAGCCAGTGCCCCCCCCCCCCTGAAAGAAGCCCAGTGTTACCTGGCTATCCAAGACTCTTCCTCCCCCCCACCCTCTCCGAATCAGCAAACTCGGTCCTCCGCCTTTTCCATTTTCATTTTTAAACGCCATTCGATACCTTCCAAGGCTTTCTCTGTGGTTGTGAGGATGCTTCCCCACTTACCTGGAGGCGCTGATGACCTTGCACTGGGCGAGGCAGGGAGCTGCTTCCTTCTCTTGCTTTGGGAGGGGCGAGCCAAAGGGGCACCTTGAGTGCCAGTGGGGCATTAACCATCAAGGAGACTAAGCACCTGCTTAGGGCACCAGGCCCAAAGGGGGTGCCACAAAAAACCCTTATGGAGCCTATGTCTTTGTTTGCACAGTAGGTACAAAGCGGGGGAGGGGCACCAAGATTTGTGAGTGCTTAGGGCGCCAGTGAGCCTTAATGTTGCGTGGCCCCAACTGCGCCAGCCCAAAGAGGCAGCTGGGGGCACAGGGGCTGCAGGGCTCCCTCCCGCAAGGGCAGAGAACATCTGTCGACCAGATTTGCACCAAATGCTCTCGGATGAGTCTGGAAGCGTCCACAGCTCAGGCCCTCCAGGGGATCTGGGTCCCCTATTTGGAGTTAGGGCGCCAGGAGGAAAACACTGCCCAGCCCGCCAGAGAAGGAGAAGGAACATTTCCTGGAATGGGGAACCACTAGACGTCCAGGGATGACTGCACAAGGCCTACCAAAATTCTTCTTCACTGGGCCAGCTCTGTGGGGCTCCTGGGAGATGTAGTTCAGTTATCTTTGGAAGCCCCCCCCTGCCCCCCGCTTCACCTCTGCTGGGCTGAGCAGATCAACAGCTGGCCAGCTGCCTCCTCCTAGTGGCAGCTAGAAGTAATGCTTCTTCTCTATTCCATCCACTAATTTTTGAGATGATGTGGTGGTGGTCCCTTCTCCATTTTAAGAACATCAAAATGGTTTGGACTAAAGAATGAAATCCTGCAGAAAGAACTCCTGGGCTTGAAGGACTTGTGGGTCCAGAGGCTTTGGGCATAGCAACCACACTGTGGCCTCCAGACAGGGTTACGGCGTTCTGTTTTCCAGATCCAGATGTTAGGTTGCAATGTAGGGCTGTGAAAGTTGGACCCTAAGGAAGGCTGAGCGCCAAAGAATGGAGGCCTTTGAACTCTGGTGCTGGAGAAGAGCGCTCCCTTGGACTGTCAAGGTGATCCAACCTGTCAGTCCTACAGGAGATCAGCCCTGACTGCTCTTGAGAAGGCCAGATCCTGAAGAAGAAACTCAAAGACTTTGGCCACCTAATGAGAAGGAAGGACTCGCTGGAGAAGAGCTTCATGCTGGGAATGATGGAGGGCAAAAGAAGAAGAAGGAGAAGGCAGAGAAGGAGGGGGATGGATGGAGTCACTGAAGCAGTCGGCGTGACCTTCAATGGACTCCGGAGAATGGTAGAGGACAGGAAGACCTGGACCAAGGGCCTTCAAACTTGGCAAGTTTAAGACTTGTGGACTTCAGCTCCCAGAATTCCTGAGCTAACATGACTGGAGGAGGAATTCTGGAAGTTGAAGTCCTAAAGCTGTCAAGTTTGAAGACCCCTGGCCTGGAGAAATGTCGTCCATGGGGGTCATGAGGGGTCGACACTACTTCACAACAACCAATATCCTCCACAGAAGACCTTCTAGGCCAGATAGCCAAGCTGGATGATGGCTTCCCAAACGGAAATACAGACACAAGCATTGCAAAGTTTGCAGTTGTGGGGGTTGCTGATGACCGCAAAGACAGTTCCAAGTTGGAAGAAGCTTTATGAGGGGTTGTGAGCAAAAAAAAAACCATCGCCTACAATGAACAAGCCAGTTGTGAAAGCAAAGGTGTAGGAAAACACCCTTGGGAAGCAGGATTCCGAGATCTGAGAGGCTGGGAGGGGAGAATAGACACACAAACCATTGAGACCGCAGGCAAATGAACCGATAAGCTTATCTCATAAATAGCAATTTAGCCCAGCTGGAAAGAGTACCAGGAACCTTTCGAACCACACAGAGACCCCACCTTGGCGAATTCACTCTGAATGAGGGACAAGTTCCTCTTACCATTTCCAAGACTTTGCATTTCGTGCTAAAGATCTACGATCTCGATCTGTGCAGTTCTAGTTCCTTGGCTGTGCCCAGTTCTGGACAGCTGGACAGGAGGACGAAGGCAGGTTCTCCTCCCAGTGAGGGATCTCTGCAGCGTCTTCTGGGCTAAGCAAAACCACCTTCAATCAGAGCCACAAGGGAGTTTTTTTTTTTTCCAGCAATTCTGGAAAGGGCCCTTGGAGCGTTTTTGTTGGGCTTCCACCGGAGGAGCCAAAGCTGGGCAGGTGTCTTCAGAAAAGTTTGCATCTTGAGATGAACGTTGCGTCCTCACACCTTGGTGCCATTTTGAGGTGGTGGCGATTGAGAGGCATCGCTCTTGGATCTGGAGAAGGGCGTTTCCCAAACTTGGCAACATTAAGATGGGTGGACTTCAACTCCCAGAATTCCTCTGACCTGAAGATGTGGGGAGTTGAAATCTACACACCTGAGAGCTGCTAAGGTTGAGAAATGCTGCTCTAGAATATAAAAATGGCTTTCTCCTTCTCCTCCTTTTCCTTTTTTCTACCCACCCTCCCTTTCCTTTCCTTTCTTCCCCTCTTCCTCCCTCCTCCCTCCCTCTTCTTCTCTCCTCCTTCCCTCTTCTCCTCTCTCCCTTCCTCCCTCTTCTTCTCTTCCTTCTCCCTCCCTCTCCTCCTCTCTCCCTTCCTTCCTCCCTCTTTTTCTCTTCCTTCTCTCCTCCGTCCCTCTTCTCCTCTCTCCCTTCCTCCCTTCCTTCCTCCTCTTCTCTGTCTTCCTCCCTCCCTCTTCTCTTCCTTCTCTCCTCCCTCCCTCTCTCTTCTCCCCTCCCTTCCTCCGATCCTCCCTCCCTCCCTCTTCTTCTCTGTCTTCCTTCCTTCTTTCCCTCCCTCCCTCTTTCCTGCCCTTTCCCTCCCCTTCTTAAAGGACCTTTAAGTCCCCACCACCACGTCCCCTGAAGAAATCCAAGTGTCTCTCCTGGAATCGCGCCCTTCCTGGGGGAGGGGTGATGCTGAACGTCAAAAGCCTCGTTGCCTCCTAACCCGAGCGAGAGGGGCTGAGCGAGAAGGCCCACCGAGAGGAACTCTCGCTTCCACCCACTCTCTTCCCCCTTGACAGCCTGCAAGCGTGTCATTCCCACTCTCCCCACTGCTCCTTCCTCCAACCGACAAGGGCCCTCCCCTGTCACCAAGGCAGGCAGGCAGGTTTCACTTCTTGGCCCGGGGCGTCTCCTCTTGCCATAAAGCCACGGAGGAGAAGATGGCAGCTTCCCAGCGCCTGGTTCCCTGCCAGCAGAGAAGTCGGAGGCGTGTGCAGCGCCTGCCGGAGCGGCGAAGCCTGCAAGTGCTGACAAACGCACTCGCTCGGGGGTTCTCGGAGGCAGTTGGAGAGAGACACACACACACACCTGCATCTCGGGCAAAGCGATACCCAGGTGCTAATTGGGTACAAGGCAAAGCTCTGGACTGAAGCTTTCCACACCTTTATTTTGTCCTCTCACAGCCCAGCCACAGTCCTCGTCTTGCACCTTGCGAGACCCGGGAAACCATTGACTCTGAAGCAGGGTGAGGATGACCCCTTGACGCCAGCGTTCCTGAGCCAGGTGGGCCAGCCCAGGTAGCCCAGCTAGGTGCTCCCCTTTCTCCCTCCACCCCTGGCAGACTTGGTGGAAAGCCGCCTTCCCTGCGTCGCTTTGCTGCAGAGCCAAAACTGCAGCGTTGCATCCGAGGAGACAGGCAGTCTGTCTCCAGTGGGTCATCCCAGGCACTCTGTAACTTCAGCAAAATTGCGAGGTGCTGACGGCAATTCCTCAGGTTCCCGTTGGGCTGTGGCAGGTGGAGTCCTTCCTCCCTACCTAGCACCTCCGTGCGGTGCAGGTTTCATCTGTTGGATGGCTGCCTGTGGGGCAGCTGTTTGATAGAGGGCAGCTGGCTAGAAAGAAGGCAGGCTTTTAAAAAAAAACCAAAAAAAAAAAACCCAAAGCAGAAAGACAGCCAGCTGGTTTGTTTGCTGAAAAGCGGCACCCGACTCTGGTTTGGCATGGTAGGTTCTTTTTTTTTCTTCCTCCAGCCCTGTCGATGCAGGAGAGGACAGAACTGGGCGGGGGAGAAGGGGATAGAAGAACTGAACTGACACTGAGGGTGGGGGGCGTTCAGCTCCGGCAGGTGGTTTGAGGGCAGGGGACACAAACGGGGAGTCCCTCCCCATCTCTCTGTCGGCTGGTTTGCTCCTGGCACAAGAAATGGAGGCAAACACTGGAGTAAGGCAAGGAGCGTTCGACCTTTGGGGTGCTTTCCTTTGCAAAGGTGAGTTTCAGAATGATTTTACACACACACACACACACACACATAAACATGCTCTTCCAGTTTTTCGGGGTGTCAACTTCTTACGCTGCCCTCCTCATTTCGGGGAGAAGGCTGACCACTAAATTTTACAAAGGGGTCTCCAGATGTCCGCCGGACAAGCATTGTATGATGCTGTCAGTGTTTTTCAAACCTGGCCCCTTTAAGATGGGTGGACTCCAACTCCCAGAATCCCCCAGCCAGCTAGGCTGACTGCAGCATTCTGGAAATTGAAGTTCATTCATCTTGAAGCATCCTGGATGAAGGATTCTGAGATTTGAAGGCCTCCCATATCTCAAAGGGGCAAAAGGTTGAAAAACACTGCTGTCAATCAAGGAAGCTGCTTAGTTCCTTCTCGGAGTCAAGGAAAAAAGCACTCTGTGTATGGGCAGAAAATCGTTTTCAGCAGTGATGTCAGCGTGGCTCTGGCAACAGATGCAAGGAGGGTTTGGCTGAGCTCCAGGGGTAGGTCAGGGCGAAGCAGGGCAGGGCAAACAGACTGGGCTGGGAGTGAAATCCTATGCCACTCAACTGGATGGCTGGAGTTGGTTAAAAAGGTGAGCTGGTTTTGACATTTATGTTTTACACAGCTACCCGGTTCTTTAACTGTGTTTCGTCGAGAAAGATGCACCCAGTGGTATCTTGGGTTGTGTCCAGGGGGAATGGTGAGGATTGTGTGCCACACAAGGATGTTGACAGAGGAAAGGAGAGAGGGAAAGGCAGATCTGGAAACTCTGCAAATGTCCCTCAAGTAATCAGCAAAATGTTTCATGCTGTAGACGAGTTGAAAAGATGTTCCAAAACAGAAGCTTGTTTTGTATGGAAAGGCACCTTGTATGCACATGCGCGTCGGGGAGGGGAGAGTGTGAGGGGCTCCGCATGTCACAGTCAGAAGATGACGGACGGGTTGTGGTTTTCCTGGAAATGCATCTGCTTGCAAATCAGTTGTGGGCAGTTTAACGAAGCAGCTGCATCGGTTGGGCTAGAAATATGGAAGAGAAGAGCGTTTGCCATGAATAAACGCGTCGGAGGAGGCTGTGGAGCATTGTGTGTCAAACCTGGCAACTTTTTAAGACAGGTGGACTTCAACTCCCAGAGTTTCCCAGCCAGCAACCTGGGAGTTAAAGTCTACATATCTTCAAGTTGCTAAGGTTGAGGAACCCTGGTCTCTGTAGGATCTGCTCCAGTGGTGGGATTCAAATTGTTTTATCACCGTTTTGGTGGGTGTACTTTGCCTAACACCGACAGGCAGCTTTCCCCAAACCAGCTGAGGCCTGCAGCGCCAATCAGCTGATTGTTAGAGGATTTTTTTCCCCTCCTCTCAGCTGATCGTGGGCTTTTTTTTTACTACCAGTTCAGCCGAACCGGTAGTATACCACCACTGATCGGCTCAGGCTGACAAACACTGGTTTGAAGGATCTGCTGAGGCTGAGGAACCCTAGTCTGAAGGATCTGCTCAGGTGCTGTGCAGAAGCTTCAGTGGCCAACTGATCTGGCTGGTTTTAAGGCCTCCTTACATAGAGGAGGAAGGTAGGACTGGCATTGCTAGCTCCATAAATTGTGGCTTGATTGTTCTGTTTCATAGCTGTCCGCTTTGATGGCTGCATATGATAAACTCAAGTTCACCGGAGGAGACCAAACTCACAGAGCTGAATCCTTCAGCTCCAGGGATTGTGGAGCCAGCTCGGCTTGTTCTGCAGGTCCATTGACATGCGCCCCAAATAGCTCCACTGGTTTTGCAAGCAGTACAAAACAATTAAGGCTGGGTTGTAGAGAGCTCATTTGCTAAGGTCCCCCAGAAAGCATCACTGGCAAGACTTCAGAAGGGAGCAGTCAGCTGGACCGACCCTCGTTGAGATTCGCCAGGTGGTTGGCATCGTATTACCTGACCAGGTGGTGGTCAATGTTGTCAGAGCAGCAGGACGCAAACGGAATATTTCCTTGGCCACTGGACCTTGGAATAAGTGTGTTGTAATAGCCCTAGCACAACCCTACTGGTGCTTGATGTCAGGAATGTACAACAAGTCCTTGAAGGTCTCCAGAGGTTCTTCATAGCAAAGCCACCCAGTGATGAAGGAGGTGAAGATGGATTTGCCTGAAGTTCCTCTGATTATTTTGGACATCAGGCAACTGCTGAGGAAGTTGTGGGGGTTTTTTTTTGATCCCAAGCAACACCTTCCAGGTTTATGGGAAAGCTTGCTACTCGTGGATAACTCCTGCATCTTTAGATATTGCAGGCAGGGAACAGAGGGAGGAGACCATCCAGGACTTGCTGTAACTCCGTCCCTGCTGGTAGAAGGCTCCATGCAGTGAGTAGGCACTCTTGCAGAGGGCAAACAACGTGGGCAGAGATGATGGTGGAATTCCCCATGAGAAAAGAATCAACACGGGTGCGAGGGCAGGAGAAACTGTCCTTGGCGTGCCCATCCAAACCTGGAAAAAATTCAGACCCACCTGTTCAATGATTAAAATGGACTTGGATGGGCTGTGTCTTTTCTTGGGACTCCTTGGTTGAGAAGAAGAGACCTCAGAAGAATTAGCTCTGGAGCCGTCACATGGGGTTTTAGCTACGTAAGATCTGAACCGTTCCCATTTGTTCGTGGACTGAGGGCTACGTCCGTGTGCCGCTGGCTGGCCTTTTCACATTCCGCAGGCTGCTGATCACGGTTGCTTGTGAGAAGTTTTCACATTCTCTGGCTTTGGGTGATGGTCTGTTTGCACAAGAGGTTGAATGACATGGAACACCAGAAGCAACGTAACATTGGTCGAAGAACATTAGTGTCGGGGATTATCGGAGCCTTATCCCCCTTACCTCTGAGCAAAGCTGCTTTCTATCAAAGCAGTTTTTGGACAGCTGTCAATTATGAGAACATCTCGAACTCTGCTGAGGCTCTTGCAGATGGCTAGGTGGCATGGTGGAAAACACAGGCGCGAGCATATTTACCTACTTGACATTCTTCATTTGGTACACAAGACATGCTACTCACTTACCTGGTATTATGAGGTGGCTGGCTGGGTGGACCTTTTAAGGGTTTTGCACAGACTTATACAACTTGACTTTAGAAACTGTATCCTGGAAATAGATAGGGGTTTGGAGTTTCTGGCAATTAAATGGTTTCAGGATAATATATATGGGGCTGATTCACTTCTGTGGGTCTTATTCATGGGTCTCCCATCCACCCAACTCCATGGTTGGTGAAATACTCTGTCAAGCTCTGAAGTTTTTTCTTTTCTTTATCTGGACGAATATATGCTGTTGCGGATTTCCAGAATTAAGCCATGTCGTGTTGTGAGAATTTAGGTGGTCTTTTCACTCGTGTTTTGATGAGGAGCTGAGGGAGAAAAAAAAAATCTAACCTCCCCTTGGATGATACAAGGAATAATAGAAATAGGGTATCAGCTGTTTTGCCCAAGCCAGATTTAATTCCTAATTAGGCTCCAAAGAGAAGGGTGTGTGTGTGAGAGAGAGTTTCCCACTATGCACCACTGATCCAACCCCAAATTGATAGAAAGACTTCTAGCGGTCATCTTGTGGTCAATCAATGCTTGAGGTCCACTCAACTTATAATAAACCTGGACAGCTCTGCAGTGAAGGAATGTGCTTTCTCAGTTTGTCTGGTTGGAAAAGCTTCGTGTACATCGTTCTGTACCACAGTAGCAGTACAGCAGCCTGTGGCGCAAGAAAAGCCAGAAATTTCAACCAGCAGATAATGAAACCCTGTCAGCTAGAAGCAGATTTAGAAGCTCCTGTCCTTAGGACAAACTCTGAATGAGTAGGAAGGAAAGCCACCAAACTGGTTTGGTAGGCCTTGGAGGGAGATAGCAAAATAGGCCTAGATTCTATTCAAGGGTGGAGAAAGCCAGCCTCCTTCAGTTGAGGTTCCTCACCCAAAGCATGGAAGTCTGTTTTTTTCTAGAAAACTTCTATTGCTCAAGATGGAGAGCAGAGATTGCATAAGGTATTCCTAGGCTGAACCTAGGAAGAAACAGGCATTACCTAGAGAAGAAAAGGATTAACTTTTGAAGATCCCCTCCGGCCAATCAAATGTGGTACGAAGAAAGTAGGTTTTCTCCCTCTGTCAAAACCCAAGGAACGGGGGTCGTTCAGTGAAGCTGATTAGAATGAGAGATGAAAGTACACCTTTCCACAGCACATAATTAACCTGTAGAGCTCATTGTTGTAGTTTGTATGAAAGTTAATTTGGATTGGTTTAATGGCGATTGAATTAAGTGTTATGGAGAATATGAATATCTAAGTCTACCTTGAACCCTCTGTGTTATCTCCGGGACTGGACATATGATCCAGGCATCAGCGGAAGATGAACAGTGATGAGAAAGGACTACATTACCCATCTCCTTCTGACAATTGGCCTATGTGAGAAATTAAATGTAGGAATAAGATGGGCACAACCCAACAAGGCTCTTATTACGAATATCTACACTTTGGCCAACAGGTCAACCATAAAGATGGTTTCTTTGGTATTGAGAAGGGGAATAAGAAGGGAATAAGAAGGTTTTGTTGTTGGGGGCTGTTGTTTCATGATCATCCTTCATGTTGTGCAGTGATGTGTCTACTCATTCCAGCTTGTGTAGAGTCTGAAGCATCTTATAAAGTTGTTTCGTTGTCATGAAACTATCTGGGAAAAGGAAAGGGGCTATCCCAAATTTCTTCCACTCTTAAATTAGCTATTGCTAAATAAATCCCCACACTTGCTTTTAGTTTTGTACATCTTCTATCTCCACCCTTCTTTCTCTCCTGTCATCTTGAAGATGGCTCTCTTTGAGTTGAACACTTGGGCAATAATGGAGATTTAGCATCCAGAATTGGAAAAACCTTGGAGAGTAATTTATTTATTACTCATCTATGCTGTCACTAGTCATGAGGCTCTTGGCAATGCACAAAATTAGAGCATAAGCAATAACGTATCGCGTAACAATAAAACCTCCACAGTACCATAAACAAATAATCGAAACAATCAATATTCAGCGTAAAATGGAAGCAGTCTACAAAAACCTAATATGATCGGGTCATTTCCTAATTAAATTTCAAAAGCTCTCTGGACAGCAGTTGTCTTGACCTGCTTCTGAAGGCCATCACTCTTGAGGCTGAGCATGTTCTTCCGTAGCCCATGGATCATGATGGAGAAGTATCTTCTCCTCATCTCAGCCCTGCTAAGGTCACAGAAGTGAGCGACCATGAACCATCTTTTCCAGGCTGTTCATCTTGGAAGGATCCATTCTGGCTGGATGTATCATAATACCAAGTTTTAGAGGTCAACGCTTTCAACCAACCCTTTCAATTTCACCCGAAAACCTCTTGGGACAGGTGTTGTGTTGTCTTTGTGTTGTGCGTAGTGCTTGTGAACCTACAGGCCACTGCATTTTTTTAAAATCCTCACAGGCTTTGAGTGGGATAGGCAGTCCTTACGACCACAATTGTGACTAGAACTTCCCATGGCTAAACAAGATGATGTGAGTCACACTGAATTTTAAGGCCCGTTGTGCCACGGTGGTTAAGCAACTCTGTCATTATGTGAACCATGCGATCCTTGAGTGAACCCGGCTTCCCCCATTGAGTAGGCTTGTCCGAAGTTGGCAGGGAAGACCGCAAACAGCAGTGACATAACTGTCGCAAATACAGGCCAGTTTCCAAGGGGCCAAATTTGCATCGTGTGACCCTGGAGCTGTCGGAACAGTCATAAATGCCAAGGACCGGTTCTGAGTCACTTACTTCAGTGCCGTAACTTCAAACAGCCACCAAACGATTGGTTGTGAGTGGAAGAACAGCTGCATTTAGAGGCAGCCCCATTCAGAGGGATTGCAGTAGTCCAGCTGAGCCGTGATTGCAACCTTGAGCCACCTTGCAAGCGGCTCTTGCTACAGGGAAGAGTAGGGCCATCTTGTGGGGCTAAACAACGCAAAGGAACATCATGTGCTGTTCTCCTTGGCTCTGGGTACATCGTAGGCAGACAAACAGGGTGGGAACTAACACTTCCCATGTCATCCCCCCACCCACCCCCCCAGCTCCAGGCTAGGCTTGTTCCCAAGGAATCATAAAGATGAGCCTTTGTGGGCACCAGAATTCCTGGGCTGTCCTCGTTCACAAGCATTTTTTACCCCCCGGTAATAAAAAATTACCCAGAAGGGGTGATTACTCGATTTGGACCTGCAGCTGAATTGGAGGAAGGGGGTGGGGGCTTGCATCCTGCTGAGCTCTGCTTCCCGTGGTATAATTATCCCAAAGGGGGCTGTCAGGGGGGGAAAAAAGGGGCAGGATTTGGCACTTGAAGAGGGGGAACGGGGTTGGCAGCCGAGAATTCATCGGAGCTATTAACTGGTAATTACAAAGCACCAAAGTCACAAACCCGGGAGCTGGGTGCCTGTGAAGAGCTGGAGATGAAAGCAGAGGTAATTATGGAAGCCACAGGCGGCCGGCTGAGCACTGATAAGTAATGCTTCTTGAGCCATTTATGGGTTGTTGGGAGCTTGCGAGGGGGAAGAACATGGGGACGGGAAGGTAAGGGAGTAGGAGCCGCTAGCTTTCCAGACAGCCTGGTCGATTTATGCTCAGTGGGGAGAGTCAGAACCTTGGAGTAACAAGATAAGTTCCAGCAGGATTACATTGTTAGAAACGTGTTTCTCAGCCTTGGCAGCTTGAAGCCACGCGGACTTCAGCTCCCAGAATCCTTCAGCTGGCAGAGCTTTCTTTTGGTTCTCTTTGTGTTTGTTTTCTTGCAGACATTTCATGGGGAGCATCCTCGGGGCTAGAAGGGCGTGGGGTTTGTGGGGAGGGGAGGAGGAAGAAGAAGAGGAGGAGGACTGTGGGGTCCTTGCAGCTCTCTGAGCTTGGTTGTTTCCTTGCAGACCTTTCATGACCCAGCTGGGTAACCTCATCAGTGTTAGAAACAAGGAGTGTTGTAGCCACCAGCGTGGAGAAGACATTCTTGACCAGAACTGTACACAACACAAAAGGGGAAAGGGGGAAAAGAGATTTGGCCATTCTGAACGTCAGCACATCCAACCTTTTCATGCCTGCGTAGAGTCGCAGTTGACTCAACATTGACAAGGTGGCATCCAAAGAGGGAACTGTTTAGGTGAGATGGTTGGGTAGAAGAGACACCCTGGCTCCCAACATAACCGACTCTATTCTCTTCCTCCTTATCCTCCAACGACTGGAAGAGGACAGCTGCCTCTCCTCTGCCCAGTCCTCCACCTTCCTGCTGATGCAGCTTTCATGCCCAGCTGTGGTAGGAATGAATTGACCTGAGCAGAACTGGGAAGAGGGCCTCGTTTAG